TGAGGTAAGCAGCTCTGAACATCTATCCCAAAAAACTTAATACCTTCTGGGGACTTCATAAATGTGATATAATGTGATAATTGTGTTCCGGCCGCGGGATTCTATAAATGTAGGGCGCTTCTTAATCTGACGTGAACATTAGGCTGGAAACACCAAGAATGTGCATTGACGTTCTCTTTCAGCTTGATAAGTTGATAATTGATAACCATGCTGCAATTGCAGTCGCGCTTTACATTGCACCTAAACTGCTAGCAGCTGGAATGCGCACCAAGCAGTATGTACAGCAGTGGATCAACACCTGTGTTGTCGCGACCCCCAACCCCCTGTTGCATACATACCCCTTCGTCGCAGCATGTTGTTACATACCTCTCTTGCGAAGGCTTGGAATAATTAGTACGTTCCACAAAAGAGCTTTGCCCATGTCGTGGAATGGCCGCTCAAGCCCGGTACAAGCCGATCGTTTATCAACCACCGCCACATGGCAAACCCGACAACAAAGGCACAAGGAGTTGCAAGGGATGTCACTAGAAAAAATGGGACTTCGAGGTTTAGCTGTCCCGCCTGCACACCCTGTGCTGGAGATGTCGGACCTAAAGATCTTTTAAGCCAACGCCGACCACAAACAAAACTCCAGCAATAAAAGCAAACCTAATCTGCTGACGTGCAGACTTTTCAAGACTCCCTCTGTCCTTATTCCATTCACTGTGAGGATGTTTAAGAAAGAGCCGAGGTTCCGCATTTCCACAAAAAAGCACGGTGTGACCCCCTTGAACCAGCCGACATGACTCCTCCAGACAAGCGGGTCTAGATGACACTTGCCACAAGCAACTTCGAGAACATGCAAGCTCGGCCTGATTCAAATTTATAGAGAGGCTCTTGTCCCATGCCCCAGGCCCCAACTCGCGCTGCAAAGTTTCAGGACAGGCATCCTTGGCGAAGCCACTTCTCTTGGCCGCTAGAACTCCAAAGCTTTGCTCAGCAACTCCCAAGTCAAGACAGGTCACAAGCTTGCGATGGAAAGCACGCAGTCGAAGGTAAAGCGGGCGCCAACCTGAAAGCGCCCCTACATGCATCAGCGGCACCGGAGCATTTGAAAATCTCTGCATACACAGTAAATGCTCATTGAGACATCTCTAACTCGCCCTGTGTACTATCTGTAGCTGCATTCTCCTCATCATTCGCAGTACTTGAAAATGTGTTCAAGAGAGAAATCAAGCGCAAGTGTCCAGATCATGTCTTTCTCCAAACACTTGACAGCTGTTATCAACTGCAACCTCTAAATTGTAAGGCACAAAGACGACCTTCCACCCACCCGGACACTGCCAACCAGCAACTCGAATTTGTGGTGTTTGTGAGCTCCAGATATTGCAGATACCTCGGGCAGTCAATCAAAACATGTAGGAGCCACCTACCTGGAAACCCCCGCAGGATTCTGTTGGGTGACAAATTCTCTCAGGCACGGATGGGCAGCAGTCATGCAAGCAACCGTTTGCCGAATGAATGTCTGGCTGCCACTTGGGCCGTTCCATGCTGAAGCAGGGCTCTTTAACATGCACTTTACGATTGGGGCCTGATATGCCTGGTGCCCGAGAAAGCCGGCAAAAGTCCACGCTAAGACGTTTTAGAGTCACTTCAGAGTTTCAAATTTCCAGTCCCAACAGGGAACCAGGGCCTCAAATAAGAGATAAGTCGCATTTTAAAGAGTCGGCACTTTTTGAAACGCGTGGTACGACGGTCTGTGAGACTTCAAGCGCACGGCTGACATGTTGCGACAACTGACCATCCCATCTGGTGCTGAGTGACAGTTTGAGGCTGTTGCGGCTCCTGCTACAACGTTGGTCTGCATTAGATTGGATTAGGGCAGGACAGCAGAAAGACACAAATAGTGGTCAATGGCAGTTGGCCGCTGCTAGAGCAAGAGGCAGGTTGGAAGACGGAGGACTGAAGCAATGAAGGAGCCGTAAGTGTGCAACACATTTCTGCGCTCTCCCAAGGGCTGGGGGTTGACCAAATGATGACTCTCACAGTCAGCCCCCGCGACAACACCAACCTTTCCGAGGTGCTGGAGACAAACCGCCCCAAAGTCGGCCTTGCAAAACATGTGGTTGTGCGCCATTCCGTTTGCAGCGAACCCACCTGGCAAAGACCTTCCCAGTCGAAAGCAGAAGCTGGCCCAGCCCAGGTGTGGCTCACACAGGAGACCGTTGCAAGCTCCTGAGCTGATTCGCGAAAGAAAGCTGTTGCATATTGTGCTCGCCACATTCCTCACATTCAATGCTGGCCTCTGCGTCGAGAAAGTCTGCCAATAAGTAGCCGGCTTCCTGGCTGCAACATCTCTCAACAAAATCGATTAAATCTATGCAGAAACTGCACAAACAAGTTGTCACTTGTCCTGCAGGGCCTGATCTTTGAGGTCAACGTTGTGCCACATGCTGCTGTTTGGCAGCGCTCTAATCACTTTCTATTTCGCATGGCTGGGAGCACAGCTTCCAACAGGTCTTCCAAAAAATGGCGTCGGACAAAAGCAAGACCACAAATGCATTTTGTTGCAAAACACAGCAGAATAATTGACCTGAGGTTGGTGCCACGTCCCCACCTCAGTCTGGGCACATGACATGTCAGCTACAATCACTTGTACTTTCGAAGCTCCTGAGCATGGAGTATTTGCATGTCATGTGGCTTTCGCAGATCCTTTACCTTTCTGCTGGTGTGCCTGGTTCTGCAATTGCTTCTGTGCCATGGCCGGCAGCTAGGGTCCAGTCCGAGGGCATGTGGCGGTAGAATTCCCGCCGGACACTTGGGAATACCGCGACCTCAACAACCCACTTGAAGCAACTAGCAGCTAGCCTGGCTTTGCCTTTCAAACACCCAACGCCAGCATCAACATCATGAATTGAGAGTCTGACGGTGGCTTCACTATTGCGCGCTGCCGAACTCGCTGGGCAGCTTCTGCCAGGCAAGAGTTGCAGCGTAGCTGCGCACACAGAAACATCCATGAATTTGTTGAAGCTCCTGCGAAGCTCTGCCGGCTGCACAACGGCACAAATGTCATCCTCACAGAATTCATGGGGCTTGCCACAGCTTGCCCAAAAGCAAAATAGCATGTGGACTGTTGACAAGGCCTGCAAAGAACTCTGAACTAAACTATGATAAAAAAAATGGGTGGACGATCCCGTGCTTCTTCTAACTACTCCAGCAAACAAACAACGCAGCAGCTTATGTTTGTGGAACTCCTGCAAAAAATATGATCCGCTGCCAGTCTTTGCAATAGTGCATTTGTTTTATGTTTAGGAAAATGTGGCGCAATCTCAAGGCCTGCAGGAACACAGAGCAAGACAAAGACTCATGAATTGAAAGTTGCACGAAAGCTTTGCGACGGGTTGGTTGCTGCCGGCAGCTTATCCGTTCCGAGATTTCCCAGCAAAAGTGGTGTGCTCGCACTGAATCGACCTGCCTCTCACAAGCCCCTGCCAGAACGACAATCAGAGCAAACAAGTTTGGTCTGAGTTTGCCACACGTGGCTCGACAGAAGCTGCGCTCATCAGAGCAGGAGGGGATGGCTGCTGCCTGGTCACGCACTCGGACTGCAAAAAATTCTGCTGCTCTGTTGCAGTCCCGCCTGGATGAAATGAAAGGCTGAGCTGATGGGCGCATGTTGAAAGGCACCTTTGGCTACCATAACAGACATGCTGGGAGACTGTCTATGTTCCAGAGATGGAATGTCTTACGAGGCTCTTGTCATTTTATCTGTTATTTCTGAAGAGTCAACTGCAAACAAGACACAAGCAGACTAACAAAGGTAAGCATTTGCAACAGGTGAATAGTGTTTCTTCTCCTGGGTTTTTTGAGGGTGGTCTTTCTTTCTAAGCGAAGAAGGGGGTGCAGGAGCGTGTGGCCAGCCCACCCCCACCCATGCGCAGCAGCAGCAGCAGCAGCAGCCGCCATAGGAATACCCCATTTGAAAAGTCCGCTTGATGCAGTTTTGACGCTGTACACTTCTGCAGTTCCCAAGTTACATCACATTTATTACCAAGCGGCGGCGGCTTTCCTGAGATTGTTCTACACGATTGCTGCTATTGGTCCGGCACCCCACCAGTCCTAGGGTCTTAGGAGTCCGGAAACTGGGCTAGCTTGGCCGCTTGCCATTCATCAATCCGTAGTTTTGGGCGGCTTGGGGGACATTTCTTCTATGTACTATCGCAAAAATCGTTTCTTCAATTCATCACGTAACAGACATCCTCCACTTGAGATTTTAACCTTGAGTGCGGCCGCGGTATCACAACTTGCTGGGCCCAGCTCTACCCCCCCTTCCCTTGAGATGGTAGAAAGGGAGCCCTGAAAGTCACTCCAGCCCAACAACATAATTCAAGCTTATAGATTTGAAGCCAATCCGAGATTGTCGTAGAGGAATTTGATCATGATTCAGTAACAATGTAACAAGCTTCAAACGCATTATGATGAGTATAAATGCAATCAGATACATCCGATGAACCTACCTCTGCTGCTGATGCTTCTGCTGCTGCAGCGCTGCTATGACCGTGCCCAGCACTGATGAAAGGTGTTCTGTACCAACCGTAAGCCTCTAAGATAAATGGTTTTGATTGAAAATTCTCCAAGACACAAAGGCCTTTACTGTGAAAGCAAGCTGGAAAATGCGGTGTCCGACTCAAGGAAAGGGAAGTCTGATTAAACACACAATTTACAGGATGTCATATTAAAAAGCCCAAAGAAAAAACACTGGCCTTACTACGAAAGACGAGAAACTTGCCCCAAAATAGAAACCTCCCAAAAAGACACCCAAAAGGTGCCCTCCATTGAACAGTCTGATCAACAGGCCCAGCCCGATGGTTAACCCCAACGACTTTGTCCACAGGCTACGCTCCCTTGCTATGTTGCATGCTTGGCACAGATCTCCCTCCATCTGCTTGCGTCTGATCTGAGACTGCAGGCCGAAACCTGCAGGTACAGAGTACAAATTAGAAAATCGGGTAGCAACTTTATTGTGACCACGCGCAGCCATGACAGGGCATCAAGCGGGCACGGGACTCCCTACGAATGGTGGCCTGGAGAATATGTGCGGCTGCGCAGAAGGCCGCAAGTGATGCGGCGCCTTAGATGTCTCACAAATTTCCCTAATTTGTGGGCATGTGTGTATCACTTTTGTTCTTATAGGCCTTGCATCCGAGATCTGTTTTCAACGTACGAAGATGCTCACATCTCAGGCCCCAGACTGACATGGTCTGGTCGATGCGCGCGCAATCCATTGAAGATCACATCTGCTCCATTGTCGATTTCTTGTGATGGCTAGCTCCTACCCTTGCAAAGCTTACGGGAAGGAACAATGTCAGCTGAGGCGAGCGAGGCCTAAAGCGATAGTCATTGCTGTTAATCTCAAACTTGAGCTTCAGCATGCTTCAGCGGCGCGCTCAGCTCGAAAGAATTGGAGGTGCACACCGTGCGCAGCATCTCTGGCAAATCCACACACAGGTCCACACCAAACAACACAGCTTCAATGTCCTGTCGCTCATCAGATTTTGTTCAAGCTAAAGGCTCTGTTGATCAATCGATCCCAGCTGCCTCGCATTGCTCGGAGACTTCGCAGCCACATTTCAGCCAGCGGAAGCCGAGGGCCCAGCAACATCTTCCAGTGCCTCTTGAAGATCTTCTACACTGGCTGCGGCTGCATCCACACCTTCCAGCTGCATAATCTTCTGGCCATCCTGAAAAATCACGACCTCAGTACAAGTAGCCTCCATTCTGCGAAGCCCAACTCTCCATTACAGTACGGTTTTATTGCCACCACGCTCTCCGAGTAAAGCCGCGCAACAGCTGGCAGGTCACCAAGCTGAAGGCTTTCGCCCACTCCTCCGCATGTCGGCTATCAGGCGACGCTTAGCCCCCCAATCTGGCTCCTGGTATTCTGGCGGCATCCAAGGTGAGGACTTGCAGCTGCCCACCTCCAGGATACTAGAACAAATCATGGAGAATTTCAAGAAGAGTTCTAAGACCTCATTGCAAAGCCCCTAGTATACTTTAAAGCCACCGAGTTGGCGTCGAAGTAGCTGCAGCGTGCCGTCCAAAGCCACCGAGTTCTCTTCCGACTTTCCTTGTCTCAGGAGTCTTGTCAAAGTGAGGCAATCAACCTCGATCTCATCAATCCTGTGCCCAACAAGGTGCCCCTCTTTGCAGTTTTCCGCCAGATGAGACGCACTCCATTGTCGCTACATCCGATCAAAACTTGCTGCTAGTTCAACTACGCGCCGGAAGCGTCTCAAGCGCCGCTTTTCACGGGCCGGGAGCTCAGCTGAACTGTGTTCTGAACTTGCTAAAGCCTGATGGAAATGATAAAACTGATCTGGATGGCAGGGCACAAAGTTCTCTGTCACAGAGAGCGATGTCTGCAAGTTCTCAACGAAATGCGGCCACCTCGGGGGTGCGTACACCACATCACCTGCTTCTAGGACCATCTCCTGGTAGGGGTGGCCAAGGATGGAAACGTCTCTCAAGTAGTCCGGGTAAATGTGCCGCTGGCGCTGGGGATCACTCAAATCAATATGCAAGTTGTGGAGGAACTCTGGTTTGAAAAAGACGAACCTTTTGCGACCTTCCAAACATGCATTCCATGCAGCACTGCCCACCGGATCCAAGTGCAGCCTGGAGTAGCTTCCTTCGGGTCCGACAAAGAGCCATCGGAAATAAAAAATGAACTGCAGTAATGATGGCGCCAGAAATCGCAAGTTGCGCCAGCGCGTGAGAAAGTCATCAGTTGCTCCAAGAAAATCCGGGCGCTTGAAATCGAGCAGCAAGTCATCAAAGGGAGGCTCATAAAGAACCTGGCTCGACCAGTAAAGCAAGCAATCGAGGGAAGAAACTTTTCGCATGTCATCGATATAAGCTTTAACAGTTGTGTCTTGCACACGAGGCGAATCTGGACAAAGCCGCTTCTTGCTTGTTGGCAGACGCTGCACCTCCAGAACATGCGGCAGGCCATGGGAAACAACTATGCCATGCTCCTTTCCTGCAGCTTTGTCAGAAAACTACTCGGCGGGCTCAGGCTGGGGGCCGAACTGCAATCTGCGCGTCCGCATATGTATCCCGAAGCCTTGGATCTGACATGCTCGTCCGAGGCACATTGCTTGTGCCTCTGCCCATCCTGCCCTCACTGCTACTCACTTTACACCGAATGCACAGAATACACGGTTTTTTTAACTCCACCTCAGAACCGTAGAACCTCGTGCCAGCCTGAATATGAAGGGCTACGTGCAAGATTTTTCTGGGGTCGTGGGAAAGTGGTTGCGACACAACTTCACCACTGGACGGGAATGACCTGCCAAACTGCCTTTGCCATCCATTCCCAAGCCCGTCTTCTCGGCCTTTGGCACCGCCAAAGCAGTCACAGCCAGCTCTCCCCCGGAAGACATCATTCCTGGTTCTTACCCCCCCCCAGACCCGTATTTCCTATCCCACACACTAGTCGCACTTTTCAAGAGCTGTGCCAGGTGCTGAACGGTGCCACCACGTGGGATGGCCACAAGTTTTGAATCGTGTTCTAAATCAAACTTCTGGACTCTACAATTTCCTTATGTGACCCTGATCTTTAATCGAACCCTTTGCATCACGAGTACGCCTGAGTTTTGGCTACAGCAGTACATCGTTTGAGCCAGGACTCTCTGATGTGCCTGGTTCAAACCCTTCAAACTGGCAAAGAATCTGAGGCACGCAGCCAACTAAAGTGGCAACCACGGCACAAAACAAGTTGCGACCTGTCAATCCCACGCCGACTCAGGTGGAGACCAGCAAGCCCCCACTCCAGAATCATTGACCAACTAGCACGGTCCACCGATACAGCAGTACATCCAATCAACAAACCTCCCACGAATCGGTTAAATCACGCCTTTTGCAACTTGCAAGAGATGCCCACAAACTTCGGCCTTGATCGTGCTGGAAAGCCTGCTGCCTGCAATGCGCCCAGTCCCTCCCCTAGGCACAAACATTTAATTTCCAATCATGCGCCCCAGCGAGTCCCGACGATAGGTTCAAAGCTTGACCGTGACCATAGCTCCAGAGATTGTGGAAGCAATAGAAAGCAATTCAAAGCACTGGAAGCCCTGTCTCTGAAGTCTCCTCGCCAGCTATGAAACGAACTTCTTCCTCGAGTCACAGATTTCCGCGGAAACCTTACGTGAAACCTGCGGCCGACAGCGTCTGCAGCAAGCAGACTGATCGGTATCCCCCTTCACTCTCCCTGCCCTCTCCCCAACGAAGCTGCAACTCCTCCAACCTTAATTTCTCAAAGGTGGAGGAGCAACCACCCCTCCCCGCAAGCCTGGTTGCTAGCATTTGAAATTACGGAAACCATTTCCTGCAGATCCTGAGCAAATCGACATGTGAGCAGCCTGGTAATTACAGATGGAGCGTCGATTCTTGTAGAGCGGAGGCCCAAATCACTTTTTGCTAGAATCTCCAACGAGGGAGAGAGGCTTCTTCTCATTCAGCTCTTCATGTCGTCCACACAGGACTAAGACTGCAGAAGCTCATGCTCTCTGAACTCAGACTGCATCACGGAAGGGCTTTCAAATTAATCTAGGTTCGTTTTTTGCGCGACAATCCCAGAAGACCCCTGGCCATACGATTCAGTCTCAGAACGCCCACCAGGGCACGATTCTGTCTCAAAACGCAAGAAGCTCCACGCGCGAGCGCGATTCCGCTTCAAAATGCGGGAAACTCTGCAAGAACTCGATTCCGTCTCAAAATTGTGGGAAGGCTCCATGCGAGAGTTCTACATGTGTCAGGCTACGAATACCGTAAGTTAGGGCATTCGGAGCTCTTGAAAGGCTACGAACAAAATCACAGCAATCAACTTGCTTGAAAGAAAGGCTCGGAGCACTGTCAATTCCACAGCATTTGCGGCTGGCGGAATCTGGTATTTGCGAAAAACATGCGAACACATGATGGCGATTTCACATTTTGATAGCCTGCAGAAAAGGCAACTTCTAAATGGGGGGGTGTTGGGGGCTGCAACTACCTGATGTGCAAAACATGGAAAAGTATCGGAACATACCTTTTGGTAGAATTTCTTTGCATTCTGCTTGTGATACAAAACAGCAGGGGGGTCGGGGGTGCAGCCCCCCACGTGCAAAATATGAACCAAGATCAGAACACGTGGCTCCTTGAATGCCTTTTGAAAGATTCTTGATGATGGTCTAGCACTGTGCCTTCATCCAACATGTTGGGAGGTTAGGGGGTTGCAGGCCCCCAGTTTACAGTTTGCAAAGCATGGACGAAGATCAGATCATGGGATAGGATAGGAATTATTAACATTGGACGAAGATGAGAACACGTAGCTTCTTGCAGAACTTCGAGCAAATTCGTTAAACCATCAGCTTGCATTACAATATAGCAGGCTGGTTGGGGGGGGCAAGCCCCTATTTGCAAAGCATGGATGAAGATCAGAAGATGTGATAGAATTTCTTAACACTGGACGAAAAATGCAGGAAGCGGGTGGGTCACCAGAGTTCAAAGCCACATCGAGAAGAGGGGAAGGGCCAATCCATGGCCAGGACCGGGCAAATCAGACGGAGCACACAAGCAGGTAGCGGAGCGACAAGGCCCGGAGTGTACTGTCGCTCCTGCGCAGAGGCACAGGGCAAGGAGGCCAAGGTGCTGGGTCAAAGGACCCTTAATGCAGGCCCCGGGCTCCCCGAGCGCCTTGAAGGATCCGCACCCCACAGAAGCGCCGCTATGGATGGGAAAGGCTTGGGAGGAGTGTTAGAGGAGGCTCTGATCGTGAGATATCGTGAGTTGGTTTGGACGGTGACTTGTTATTCACAAAGGACCAGCATTTCAGAAACTGTGTTTGGAAACCGCATTTCAGAAACTGTGGTTCAGAATCTCAGTTTCCCCCGCACTCTTGGGCCGCACTTTGCTGGGCTTGCGAACTTTGCAAAACAACAGACAAAATGTTGGTCCAAGCAAAGGACATCTCGGATTCACAAGGCAGGCGGGCAAATATTAACACACGATACTCTCGCCATGTGCGTTCACTATTGTGGGCAGAGTTGCCATGCCTTTTCACACACCAGGCAGCCATCGAGTGGTGCAAAGACTGTACCGCGCAATGGGACACAAGTCTAATCTAATGTCATGAGAGTACATAGAGACATACTGCAGCACCTTCACGGGCGAAAGTTGTGATTTGCACGAGCTCCTTGATTTACCATCAGCTCCAATACTTATTGAAGCATTTTCGTAAACTCGCATTCCACTCAGATTGGCTGGCATAGAACTCATAAAGATCGTGCTGATCACAAGTTAAACTGTTGAAGTGTAGCATGCGCAGCACTTTGAAGAGTTCGCAGGCTCGCGTCGAACCCTTTTAACAATTGCAAGTTCTAATCAGACAAAACTGGCTTCACCAGGCGCTGCACAATCCGAAGCTCCAAACCCTAAACTAGCGCTGAACCCTAGCAAATCTACAGCCTGAGCGACCCAATGTAACTGCAAACAACCCGAAGCACGGTAAGGATCCTAAACCCTAAACAACCTCACCAAACCTTAAACCCTAAACACCTTCTGCCGTAAAGGAGATGGCAAGGACAAAACAAACGTGCTCGTTACTGGCTAAAGCCTAGCGCTCTGAAAGACGCGGCAAGTGAGGCACGTTGAAAGGCTTCGGGGGCTCGGATGTGCACCTAATCTTAGACAACCCTAAACCCTAAGCCTTTTCTGCTCCACGAGACAACCCCCTACCCTAAATCCTAGACAACCACAAGCCCCATCTAAACACCAAACAACCCCAAACCTTAAACCCCAAACGACCTAATGCTAGCAGCATCTGCCAACAAGAGCTCAGCAGAATGACAAAATGAAGGGCCTGCACTCTTGTGACCCACTTCTGGCGTTCATTGCAACCCAGTCTCGATGAAAGTGTCCATCTCGCTGGAAAAAGTGATCTGGCAGCCCCGCGAAACATGTGAGGCCGTGTCCAGTCCATGGCAAGGCTGGACGGACCAGTCAAAAACCACAAGCTACCGGATGAAGAGATGCCAACACCAAAAAAGGTCCTAGCCACCCCAGAACTGCAATGGTTTGCCCTCAGCTGTTGTAAATGGATCGAGTTGTTCTGGCTCTGCTGGAAGATCCCGACTCAAGCTTTGGTCCCTGTCCGGGCGGTTTGGGGCCATCACATTATGCGAAACTATCTCACGGCAAGCTGAACAAACCACGAATCTGATTCCAACCTCCTGCGAGCTGTCCATGACATGCTTACAAGTGCAGCCACCAATTTGCATTGTCTGGCTTGTACAGCCAGTCTTGCCTACGTATAATCAGGAACATGGCAATGCTGCCAAAGATTCCGCTGCCGAGGACTCCGAGAAGCAAAATCTCTTCCATTTGCACAGTCAACTCCAATTCCTGCACCAAGGCATATGCACTACAGAATCACTGCGGAAGCGACTGTGCCGACCGTCCTCCAAGCTGCTGACTTCCGCAGAGCTTCCAGTATCATCTGGCACAAAACAGCAATGGATGGCAATTCCGCTGCAGACGCGTGCACCAGTGGCGTGTCCAACATGATCAACGGAACTGAACTTCCTTTCTGAAGTGTCATTCGCTTCGAACAGGTCTCATGACTGGCTGCAGAGCCGTGAGATTTGGAAAGTCCTATCGCAGCTAGGCATTTCTCAGCCCCGCCTAGGAGCTCCACCATCCCCAGTGCTCTCGCAGCTGCATCCTCCAACTGAGACAAACTGACGGCGCCTTCGAATCTGCCTGTTTCCACACCTAAGCGATACCAACTTGAAGCTTGTGAGCATTCAAGGCATAACAAACAAGTGCTTCAAGTCTCGAAATCTCAGAGCCCAACCGTTCTTGAAAAAAATCACCGTAGGAAGGCCCTCCACGCCGAGCGCGGTTGCCTCCGGATGAGGCAGGGAGTCTTGTACAACCAAAGCCCCTAAGGACTACATGCGCGTGTGTGTCAGTAGAACAGCTCAAAGGACAACACCCTAGTAGCCCTGTCAACGCAACGCCCCGAAGGCGAAAATGGGGTTGGGGAGGCCATGGGAGGCCCGAGAATCAATACACCGCATAGAGCATGAGCTTTGGGAACCTGCACGGGCTGAATTCTGCAAAACCTCGATCGGGTGGTGCAAAACCAGTTTTCCTTCCTCTCCAACACAAGAAAACACCAACGACCGTGTTGTTCATGAGTGCGAGGTGCTCAAGACTGCCAATCAGGCATAAAAACTTTGTGGGAATTATCATTCTCAAGTCTGGAACAGGGGGCCCTTGAACAAGGGCGGAATTCTGGCGTGTCAGCCTCGATGACAACTCGTCTTTTTGGAAAGAATCAAACCACAAAACCAAAACATAAATGAAACAAAGCGCCGGGTCAAGGCGGCAGGCAAGGAAACAACAGAAGCAGAAAGCTCGTTAGACCAGGAAATACAACACCCACCAACATCCGCTAGCCCCGAAACATGACAAAACGATGGCAAGCAAGCAAGCAAGCAAGCAAGCAAGCAAGCAAGCAAGCAAAACGGATCAACAAAAGAAACAGTGGAACAGAGTGCAAGAGGAGTACTGATGCTTAGAGAATTCTTTTCTCTAGACAGGTTTATCTCATCCCAGCCTTGGTAGTGTATCGATCACTGTCCAGCCGCAGCACCTGAGGGCCTGGAATGCCGTCCTCATCGAACTCGCCACTTGTTAGTCGACGCGCAAGCTTGGTCAGTGCAGGCTCAAGAAATTTGCAGGGTCCACACCTGAGCACAAAGAGCCTAGCCTGTCTGTCCCCGGACAGCGCGCAAAATAATAAACCTCTTCAACACACGCACACATTTTAGTTACATAATGGCGCGTTTCCGGTTTCCAGCACGTGAGTATTGTTTGGACAGCTGTAAGCATAACTTGAGATCCTGCTGTGAAAATTAATGGGCATAAGCCTGCGGACAACGAAGTAAAATTTAAAAAGGTGACAACTAAGATCATCAGCTGGGGAGCCACACCGCGTAAACATCGAGAACAACAGCTCCCCTGCCCTGGATCGCCGCATCAAGTTCAGCTGGCCCAATCTCCGCAACGCATCGCTGCTGCATCCTCCTTTTTCGTCCATCCAGAGATACCTTTCTCACAAAAACCGAGCGACCTTAGCCATGTGAAAAGGTAAAAAGGAAGCCATCTTCAAATCCTGGCTTTAGATGGCTTAAAAACATTCTTGATGACAAGCTTCTAAATGACACACAGGGAGGCCGCAAAGTACTGAAGCTCACGGTATCCACGACATGAACGAGTGCGACAGCTGCGCAGCAATATGCTGCCAATTGGCGATTCATACAGCCAAGGACCATTGCGGCAACGTCGAAAGACAGGTAGGGCACACGCTGGTACACCTGCTCTCTGCTCCATACTTTCTGCTATGACTGTCGATGTTCCTATGACAACGTCGTCATCTCCAAGCCGTGTGTTCTTGCTGTCGTCCATGTCGATCGTTGCGTTGGACAATCGTTGAGATCAATGCTTACCCTTTCCTTACCGCCTTGAACATGAACAGCCAAACATTCTCTTTTGCATGGCGGAAAACCTGGTGAAGATCCCATGCAGTCACCCACACGCCAAGGCACCACTTCCCAAATTTTTGCAAGGGCACAGACAACTCAAACCGCAGCTGAACTACCAACAAAACCAGAGGATGCAAACCAGCTGCAGCGTGCCATGTTGAACCAAAAGCCTGGAGAAAGTGCCCTCGAAATACTCACCAGGTTCAGAAAGGATACAGGGCCTTTTTTTCATGTGGTACACGTTAGTAATGAATGGTACGTATACGAAGCTGCCGCTAGACCCCGTACATGCGCTAGGTGAAGTGAAGCGATTTGGCTAGCCTGGCACAGAGTGGTTTTGGGTCATTGTCTAAGCAGCAATGGCTTTTTCCAACTTCGCTGATTCTTGATTTATGCCAGCTGAGATATCTAAGACACAACTGTCGACGGCCCCCAACCACATTCACGAGAGCCAGGCAACCCGTGGGTATTGCACAGCAAATTTGCAGCGCTGTGGCAAACGGTCATGCTCCTTGACCTCGAAGATGTGATCGCCTTCACTTTAATGCAGGAAGGTTTACCTGACTTCCTCCATATGCCTGCCGCGGTCATGAACTAGCATTGTACATCATTGAGTACAGAATGTAGAGCCGTCAAACTCTTGACCACTTCGTAGACTGATTAGGTCCAGTTGCCTTGTGCTCGAGCCAGGCGCTATGCGCCAGAGCCTGCTTTCTGGTATCAATCATGTACAGCTCCACTGCAGTCCTCCGCTCAAAGCTGCCGTCTGCATCCTCCCCTGTGGAAATACCAGACATTGTCTATGCCCCCTTTGTTTCTGCTTGCTGGGGTTGCGAACCAGAGGAAGTTCCAAGTCGTCACATGAGGCCCTCTCTCGGAAGTTCGGAACCAGCATCGGCGCCCGGAGCTTTGATGTAGCGGCGCCACCCGCTGCCATGACTACAAGATTAACTTCAAGCCAATTGCAAGAAGAGAGGCGTAGCCTACCTGCACAAGTTGACAAGAAAGATCCACATACACGAACCGTCTTCGGTCGTGAAACGGGACAATTGTGACTGCGGAAACTAGGCAAGGGCAAGCAACAGGCCTACGTCTTTTCTTGCCATTCTGGCTGAGCTTGCAAGACAATCTAGCCCGCGGCTCTCTCACAAATCAGTTTCTGCACAATTTGCTGGTGCTCCATCCCACTCAACGGATGAAACCTGAATCAGGCCCAACGTGAGGAGGGATGTTGCATGATAGGAAATGATAAGCATCTCTTGCCTTGGCAATCGATGACAGTTGGCGAAATGCCTTTGCTGCATCAAGGCCGGAACTTGAACACTCTCAATACCAGAAGCCTCATCTGCCGAGGTGCCTGACATGCATCACGCTCACTGTCGTGTGAATACTTTAAGGTCAGCATACGCCTTGACAGTGCGGGGCAACACGCTTGAAATTCATACAACGCGTAGTCTGCATGACGCAACTGCTGGCTGGCAGCAGAGAACGAAGCTCCGACTTTGACGCGGGTGGGGGTACCACATTGGCGATTTCTGCAATGTCTGCATCCTTCAGGGGTATTCCCAAGGCTGCCGCAGGCACCACAAAGGACATCAAATATGCTGGGTTCCCTCTGCAGCGCAGCAATGATGATGAAGGCTTTGGACGTTGCTGCCTCTGCCCTGCAAAGCACCGATAAACCATTACAAAATGAAGTTCAACCTGATCAGTGCGGAGCCTCAGTGGAGTGACGCAAACATGACCACATCCATTTGAACCTGGGTCGCGGGGATCTCTACAACTCCCGTCACGGGCAATCTGCGTTACCTCACTGACTTTTCTTGTTGTTTCAAAGCATACTTTGCCACGCAAGCCGTGGCTGCAGACAAGCGGCAGCACCAATGCCCCCGTTTGCCAAGCGATTCACCTGTGTAAGATTATGCGCGAATTTTCTTATGAACAAACATCGCCGCTAGAGGCATCGCATTTAAGTTGCCAAGGTTCAGTCGGCATGTGACGCACACTCTTCCACGCACATGCCCAAGGAATCCTTTGGAAAAGATGGGCATAGCAAGTCCTGCCACAAGAGATTTCAAATTGATCATACGTGCTTGACATGTTGTCTCCCAATCTTGCACATCTGCGAGCGCCTTCGACGCAAAACAAACCCAATCGGCCAGCAGCACTGCCCAGATGAGTGACCATTGCAACATGTTCGCTGCAAAATATTGATTCTAAGCCAAGACCCATTGCTTCCTTCACAGCCTTTTTACTGGATCGACCTTCTCAATTTGAGTCATGTCCGCATAGCTTATGCCAACAACATGAACGCTAAAGCAACCCCCGTGTTGAAGATCACCAAAAATTGATTCTAAATTAACATGTGATGCTACCCCATCGTCAGAAGCCGCAACACAACATACTGCAATGTGTTACCGAGCAGGGCATTCACTGCATCAACCGGATTTGCCGTCGTCGCATAAACAATAGCATGCAGATCGGCCTCTCCCTACACCACTACGATAAATATCCAACGAGATTTTGCTTGTGAAATCCGCCTCATAGCCTGATTTCTGCCTGGGACATCTTTACTGCTGTTTGGTAGGTGCAACTAAGACCTGCTGCAAGGACCAAAAAGAAATGGGGCCATGGCACACCGCTGTTTTGCACCCGGCAGTGGCTCGGTATGGTTAATGCCCGTGCTTCAACAGAATAGACGTGGATGTTGTCGGCAACTCCTTCCCAGGCATTGTCCTCGGTACAACCCACGCCGACCTCCGGCCGCGCTTTTCAACAAATCACTCAGTCGTTTGCTGGACGCGCATCTCTTGGGCGAGTCGGTTGGTTTGATCTGCATCACCTTGGCAACAATTTCCCATCTGTGCTGTTTCCCTTCCATACTTGACATTGCAGGGTATTGACGAAACCCAAACCATGCAGACGAAGACCTTTCAGGGGTGCGTTTTGCCATGTGATATCCATTTTCAATTACCAAGCATTACATGAAACGAACCGCTTGCCGCTGGATAAGGGAGGCGATTGGCATAAGTTGGAAAAAGTTTCGGCCCCTCCATCACCTGTATGGTGGAGCATCAGCTCTGACAATTATATATACGTAAACATATCACAAAATGTCTCCTAAACGCCGGCTCAACAAACATGCCCATGCGTCATTACACATGGTCTTGACCCAACCTACCCAGCCAAGTTGCCGAGTAGCACTTGGAGCGATTTGTTTTTGTCTGACCTAAATAGGGAAGCTTCCAGGTTGAAAAACCTCAAATAACCGCAAATCGTGCATTCAAGTGGCTGCACCGCAGCCCATACGACATCCTCAGCGGGGACGTGCTCATATCCCGCAAGGGTTGCATGTGCTATGTCCATGCTGAAGCAAACAGGAATCCACATCACCAAGCTTGGCAATTTGTTGCGCAGCTTTGGAATATTGGCGCACAAATTCCTGGCTGCAGAGGTAATTTCATGACAACATTTTCAATTACACGCAGCACGCCTTCTCTGCTTCGATGGATTCCACCCTTGGCATAACTCTTGTGTTACTCCAGCAAGCTGCCACAACCCACATGGTAATTGCATGACAGCCACAAACCAGCGCGTGTTGCGTGGGCGTAATTTTGCAACTCTTCAGCGCAGTCACCTAAACAAACAATGCCTCAACATTGTCATGCTTAAAAACGGTGTAATTGCAATTTCAGCTAAGTCACGGAGGATTGCAACCGTCACCTTAATCAAGTTGCACACCACAAAAACGCTGGGCGACATCAAGTATGCACACTGGGCGCCGAATAACCGGCACATAATCGTAACACACGTGTAAGAAACAACTAATGATTGCAAACTGCCAAACCGCCTGACGGGGCCATGCTCAAAGTTACTCGCCAACACAACGTCGACCCTGCATAGCCCTGTGAAGTTCAGATGCTCAGCGCTTGTACGTCGTGTCGTGTGTTGTACCGCACGTGGCCCGAATGGTTGCGACCAACGGCGGCAATTCAACATGCGTTGGTAACACGGAGGGAAGATCAGAAATACAGTTGGTTGTTTTGCTCGTGTTGTTGTTGTTATTCTGGGATATTCTACGTGAGATCCACATCCAAGAATGTGCAGTTATTGATTGTTCGAGAGTGCACTGTCATTTTTTTACCGCAATGTTTTTTGTAACCAGCTTTTGAAACGTCCAAAAAACTAGGCCCAAGGCATCTTGTTCAAAAGCATGACAAACCTGAGCTAACTTACAAAAGCCTGCCAAAATAGAGAGGGGATTGCCACGGCCTATCAGGGGAAAACAAAACATAACAAAACCAGTAGCAGTCATGGCACTGAAAGGCGTATTGGTGGTATCAGCAATAGTAACACCAGTGACGGCATTGGTAATGATAACGGTATTGGTACTGGCAATAGCGCTAGCAATAATATTAACACAACAAATATGATTGTAGTATGCATTAATAAACATGGCAAGAAGTACAGAAATATTCGTGATGGAAATAAATAGCAATGCATTGGTAATGGTATTGGTAATAGTCATGGCATAGTAGTATACAACTACTCTACTAGTAATAATTGTCATGTATTGTCATGGTAAAAAGAATGTCAAAAACAACATTGCTAAAAAGTACTAATCAACATATTTCTGGCAACACGAAGTTCGCATGAAGGCTCAAGACAAAGCTGGCGGGGGCCGCAATAAGTGCCCCTTTCTGCCAGCAGAGACACCGTCTTCGCCCAGTACCTTTTTCAACAGTCGCGACGCATGAACACACTGGTACTCGTGCTGCTGTCCGGCAGGCAAGGCTGGCGCGACGAGCTGTGCCTATACTCGCCATGCTGCCACCGACGAGCAAACAGGTGGCAGCCCATGCAGCTTTGGTGCGCATGGGCGGGGAGCCAAATGCCAATGTCGGTTAGAAGACCATGTATTTTTGTTTTGCCCTTTTTTTCCGCCACTCCTGAGGGTCATTTTGGCTGGAAAAGCGGGGCACCGGCTGGGCGCAGGAGCCCCTGCGAACACACCATGGAATACGACCGCCTCACCTTCCACACAGCACTCCCCGGCCAGTACCTCGAGTGGAGAGCAGGCGAGGGCTCCTCGCCGCATGCGGGCCAGCTTCGCGCTCGAGATGCAGTGTCGAGTCGAAGGCAGAAAGGACAAGTGTATCAACCGACCGGTAAAACAAAAACTTACTCATTCGGCTTGGGCTGCGGGGCGCCACATGTTTTCCAAGTTTTATTATTATTATTATTGTTTGTATTCTTATGTCGGTTTCACCCTTCTTCTTCCCAGTGCCAGGCACAATGCGCTGGCCGCCACGATTTAAAGATTACAAACCCATCTCACTGCTTGCTGTTGAGGATAAGCTATTTGCTGCGATCCCTCTGCGGCGTTTGACTAGTGGAGGGGCCGACGCAAGAATCTGGCACGCTCAATTTCGGTTTCTTTCGGGCAGACGCGCTGCTGATGCTGTATCTGTTGTCTGTTGACTCGTTGATTATGCGTTGTACCACCATGATTCCAGCCACGTCTCACGCATCCACCGTCAACATTTCGGCATTTCACCAGGGCTTTTCAATTCTGATGACCGCGTTACTGTTCAATGCGTCTGCAAATCTGGATTTGTGTTTGCCGCGTTCAGGTTTTGACATCTTCTTTATCGAACTTGCTCATTCTGACGACGCCGTGACAAATGCGTCCCGCGCTGAAGCTTATATACGTGGTATCGCCAGTGCAAGGATGGACTATGGCTTGCGGCTCGAGCCAGGTCGTGGCCGACATGAATATCGATGGACAGGCGCATCGAGGTTGTCGCAA